AAAAAAAAAAAAAAAAGGACCTAGCGTCAAAAGAGCATTTAATCCCCTACCTAACTATCCGTTTATGGCGGTTTACCTTTCCTTCTGGCATGGGTGGAAGGAGAGCTTTGTGGCGCTTCACCGAAAAAACAGAGAGACCGCGTCCCCGTTTCAAATACCTAAAAATGGAAGAAAGAATCATATTAAATAATGATCCACTTTAGGCCTTCATTAATTCATTTCAAAGAGAGAGAGGTAGAGAGAGAGAGAGATGTGCTGCAGGATATGATCATCTGAGCAATTTGGAGGCCTGTTAGTTTGTTGTTCATCTCTGTAGCGTCTTATAGAGCATTGTTCCTTCTGTCATCTTTTCTCATGTGCTCAGCAGTCTCCACTTCTAGAGGAATTTTGCTTCTTAGGGGTCACAAAATCCACATACACCATCAACTTCTTTGGGGCAACTTGAAATGGATCCACATGAAGCTAAGGAAATTGAGCTGCTATCATTATCTTGGAACCAAGATTATGGGTGTTTTGCTGCTGGCACAAGCCATGGCTTTCGAATTTACAACACTAAGCCGTTCAAGGAAACTTTTAGAAGGGATTTGAAAAGTGGTGGCTTCAGAATTGTGGAAATGCTCTTTAGATGCAATATTATGGCTCTTGTTGGCGGTGGTGTCAACTCGCAATATCCACCCAACAAAGTTCTAATTTGGGATGATCATCAAGGTCGTTGCATTGGTGAACTTGCCTTCAGATCTAATGTTCGTGGCGTAAGATTGAGACAAGATCGCATTGTAATTGTTCTTGAACATAAAATAAATGTGTATAACTTTAGCGATTTGAAACTTCTCCACCAAATAGAGACATTAGCCAATCTAAAGGGACTTTGCTGTCTTTCACACCATTCAATTACTTCTGTTTTGGCATGCCCAGGTCTACGCCAAGGACAAGTTCGAGTTGAACACTTTGGTCTAAAGATGACAAAGTTCATCAATGCCCATGATTCACATATTTCTTGTTTCAGCTTGACTTTGAATGGCTTCCTTCTTGCAACTGCAAGCGTGAAAGGGACATTGGTGAGGATTTTTAACACAATGGATGGAACACGCTTACAAGAGGTGAGAAGGGGTGCAGATAGAGCAGAAATATATAGCATTGCTTTCTCACCAAATGTGCAGTGGTTGGCAATATCTAGTGACAAGGGCACTGTGCATATATTCAACCTTAGGGTTCAAGTGGTAGGAGAAGATGCACCTATCTTGCCTTCAGGTTCGGGGCCTGCTTTGAGACATCAAAACTCTGGAACTTCACTTGATGCATTGATATCTCAAAATACTGGTGCTAACCCAAGCTCTTCATTATCATTTATGAAAGGGGTTTTACCTAAATATTTCAATTCCGAGTGGTCATTTGCTCAATTTCGCTTGGCTGAAGTTACACGATATTTTGCAGCATTTGGTTCAGAAAACACCGTAATGATTGTTGGTATGGATGGCAGTTTCTACAGGTGTAGTTTTGATCCAGTGCTTGGTGGAGAAATGACGCAGCTAGAGTATGTTCGATTCCACAAAGGGAAAGTCACCAGCCAAGATCAGCCAGCCAACTCATGAGCTAATTTGCTAAAACAGCATTTTACAACAAATTTTGAGAACGAAGTAATTTTTCTTTAAGATGCATATATTTTATACAGAGATATTGTATCTGTTTTACCTGTAAATTAATCTCTAATTGAGGCTTCACTTGGGGCCACTTTTTTTAATGTTTTTTCAAACAGCTTTTTAGTACAATTTTTTTTGTTCAGATAAATTTTATACAAAAAATTGTAAAAAAGTCGTCCAAAATAAACCAAAACTTTATGGGAATGATATTGTGATTACCCTTATATAAACTCAGGGCTAATGCTCTGATAATCTTGTAATAAAAAAATGCAATTTAAATGTCAAGCATCCTTTTTCTATGCTTCTTCTACTTGTTTTACTAGAAAGATTCTTTGGGAGCAACTTTTTAATTTTCACAGTATTATTATTTTATCCTGATTGGTTGGTGGTGATTTCAATACTATATCTAATCCTTCTGAAAAACTTGGGGGTTCTTGCCCTGCTTATCAATCCATGGATGATTTCAATAACATTTTAGATTGTAAACTTATTTACATTGGTTTTACTAGTAATTCTTTTATCTCGAATCGTTGAGTTTATGGCAATGTTTGGATCGTGTTCTTTTTAATTATGTGTGAATTAATTGTTTTTATTCTACTTATGTAGAGTATCTCAGTAGAACCTTTTTTTATCATTCCCCTCTTTTTATGGGTTTTTTGATGAGGCATGATGGTCTTGTTCCTCACTTTAGATTTCAAAACATGCGATTATTCGATAACTCGCATTGTCTAAGATAACTGGCACGACCATCTGGATCCTAATAATTCTACTTCTTGTATGAATATATTATGGTTCAAACTTAAAAAGCTTAAATATAAAATCAATTGCTAGAATAAACATGGATTTAAAAATATTTTCTATAATATCTTGTATAACTATAGGAGAATTAAGTATTACCAGTAGATTTTCTGGTAAAAAATTCTTTAATTTCTAGTGAATTTGAAAATTTTCTAACATATATTTTTCGCCTATAAAACGTGCGTCGGAAAAAATTTTCATTGAAAAGAAAACTACCGGAATATTTTTTGACAGTATTTTTCACTGAAAAATCTTTCTATCAGATTTTCCGGCGAACCACATCCACTAGAATAAGGCAAAAAATATCCATAATAAATATGTTGAAGTGCTTCCTGAAGCTATTATTAGCCAATATTAGAACTCCCTATTAATAATGAGGCTGATGATTATTTACTTTGCAACTTGTCTAAAAATGGGGTTTTTAATTTGATTGATTCTTTGAATGATTTTAGAATAAAAAATTATTTGAACAAAGTTTTTTTTATGATTTTGCACAAATGTATTCCAACTACTATTTCTACCTTTATTTGTAGGATTTTGCATAATTATATACCTACTGACGAGAGCTTAATCAAAAGAGGTTTTATCTTTCCCTCCAAGACCCCATGTTGTAATCATGTGGAGAATATGCATCATGTGTTTATTTCTGATCATATTTCTTTCAAAACATCGATCTATTTTGATGATATCTTTAGATTTAACTTTTTTACTGCTAATATTACAATCAATAGCATTCTTAACCTTTATTTTGTTAATGCAAGAGGTCATATTAGAAATTACAGTACTTCCATTAATTTTTTTTGGGTTTTTTGGCTTAGAAATAACTTGCGGTTTAACAATATCCCCATGGACCGTCATCACATCATTAGTAATGTCAAAGAAAAAATTTTTTGAAGCTTTTTTGTTTTTCTCCTGCTAACATGTGCTCCAAAATTTTTAAGGATCTCTCCATATTGGCTCAGAATTTAGGCATTCCTTTCCAAATTAATCATCTTTACATTGACCCTAAGTTGGTTTGTTGGGTTAAGCCGCTAATATTACCTTTAAATCTAATGTTGATGGGTCGATTAAATATTTTGTCTATGGTTGTGGTGTTATTATTAGGAATGCTCTTGGGAATGTCGTCATGATTTATGTTGGCCCCTTAGCTAAGTGTTCTGTTATATTTGCTGAATTATTACTATCTTACATGGCCTAAAATTATGTGTTTCCATTGATATCACTAATATCCAGATTGAGGTAGATGCTACTTACAATATTTATTTTTTAAAAGACTTGATGATATTTTTTGTAATTCAAAATTATTTATCTCATTAGAGAAATTAAGCAGCTTATAATCTTTTAAAATTACACCATCACCCTTGTTCTTAGGGAAGGGAATCCTTGTCATGATTGGCTTACCAATCCTACTTCTCCTCTATATGTTCCTTTCATATTCTCCATTGCACGGTTTTGGGAATAGATTGAAGTGAATTTTGGGTTGAATTCATGATGGAATACAGATGCTATGCTCCTTGGAGTAAATTAGAAAATATTCTAATTTTCTATCTGCTGCCATGGGTTAAGGCCCATCTTGAGGCATCTGGATCTATTTCTTTTGTCTGTGATTTTTGGTTTGTTGGTCTATGTGATGATTGACTATTATGAGATCTACACTGAGATTAAGTCTCTGGCTACCTTTTCTTCTGTTAGGCTGTTAATTGATTGGAGTCAATAGCAGTTCAAGATGTGGTCTTTGCAATTTTTGAGTTTTACTTATGTCCTTATTCAATATAGGAAGATCGATCATTCACTGCAAATTTTTCGGCGGATTTTTGACGGAATATTTTCTGGCATATTTCTGACGGATCACGATGAAATATTTCTTACAGATTTTTAAGCAGATTTTTTGGCGAAGTTCCGACGGAATTTCTGATGGATTTAATAATTTCATGAAAAAGATATATATTTGTAACTTAATTAATTATTAAATTTTAAACCTTATTTTAATCAATTATTAATTTAATAAATTATTTTAATTGACTATTAAATTAATAACTTAGTTCAATTAGTTATTAATTTAATAAATTATTTTAATTATTATTTAAATATTATT